TCAATGTGGTAAACAATTAGCCTTTTGTTAACATACATGATGCTTAGAGTGAGTGAAGATAGAGCAGTTCACTGTCACAGGGGTCATAATCACAAGGATATGTTAGTTTCAATGAAACTTGAATCAGGAAAGCTTTCAGATTTCCATCATGAAATTTTGCTCAGAGAATGAGAAACCCACCTCAGTATAGGAACATCTCTTTAAATATGAGCCCTTCTCTTGGGATGGACTAGTTGTTGACTCAGTGGACTAGTCCTAACTCAAGTAACACCATGGGTCCTGGTGCTCCCACATCCTGTTTGAAGACAGTTTGCACCAGTATTGTCAGTAGGCCAGAGGTGGTATCTCACTTTGATTTGCTTTTCATTCAACGCTTAGCAATGTCTTGATTTGAGAAGCGCTTGAAATCATTGTGGGTCTGTCTCCTGACATCTGTACTGCCTGAGATAGTTAATTTAAAAACAGGATTTGAAGGGACCTCCCCCATTCTTAAAATCCACTCGCTCAGAGCTGAATGACGGTTTTTCATCTTACCTTTTTAAAACTGCATCAGAGGTCACCTTTTTCTTCTGTTACTCTCTTTGTAAATCCATCTGCAGCCTCAGTCTCTTCACAGCCAGAAATAGTCCTTCAATTTCCAAGCTGGAGATATTCTTGCCTGTTTACTTGCCTTTGTATCTTAGCCAGGCCTGGGAATTTAGTCCCCTTACCTGTCATATGAAATCTTCCGTTCTAATACTCTGCAGAAAACGAGGTATCCGCTTTATTGGATAGTATCCATAGAGTGATTAATGAGGAAAGTAAGTGCCCATTTGATTCTCTAACCCACAGGCAGTATGAGTGCCCAGAAATACTCATTTATTGTTCTTCCTGTTCAAGCTGTGATCTTGGCCTGTATCCTTTGTTAGGCTAAATGTTGAGGGTTTCAGTTTAGCTGTCAGTTTGAATAATTTCCCAAGTACATATTACTTTTGATTAGTAATTTGTGAGAGTGAGGGGGATGTATAAGAAACTCATCACCAATTGCCCTGAATGTGGTGTTGCACCAGTCTTTTGTCTTCATTCAACAGTACATAATGTTACATGAAGAAAGGCCAGAAAAGACTGAAATGATTCATTAAAGTTATATAGGTTTTATTGAAGTCCCGCAGAAGTCGCTGGAAAGACTCCAGTCAGTTTTGGATGAGGCTTATGGCTCAGAGGGTCTACTATGTAATCCACTTTTATCCTCATCACTTAGCAACTGTGTTATTCCATTCTCCTTTAAATAGGAAAGGCTCTGATTCTTCATTAAAATGCTGTACTATACTATCGCCTCTTCATTCGACATCTTACTTGAACAAGAACCACCTCTGCAGCTGTATCCCACCTGCAGAAATCTGCACTCTTGACTTGAGACACGCATCATGGCCAGTAAACAAATTGTAAATATCTCCATTACATTTTTAGGTTCAGAAGGTTTCTCTTGTAAGAACAGTAAGAACTCTTTTGGAAAGATTTCACTGCTTATTAGAGGAGTCATTAATCTGTCTGGAGACACCGGGCTCACTGAAGTTATCAAATGCCACATGATAGCTGGAGTTTCCAGCAGCTGGGTAGAGCTGAGCGTCTCTTTTATTTTCTCTAGGGATTAGATTCTTCTTATCCCATTTCCTAGCCAATGAGCTTTTACTTTTCAGTTAAACTGGGTTCAATTATGAAATCAAGTGTCTGCCAGGAGTCTTGCATGTACCCTGGAGAATTCCGGAACTGCTGCCAATTAAAGCACACCACTCCTGATCAGATGCAAGTTTAGAGGGAGCTGTTTACTTTTCTAACTTGGGCTTGCTGGAATAAATTGTCTGAGAAAATATTCAGGGCAAGTTTTGCAGCTTTTGTAATGGGAACCTAACCCACTTCAATGGATGAACATTCTTCAAAGTAACTGTTGTGTATTTCTTTTCCAAATTTTCATGTTATCGTCTCTAGGGAGATATACAAAGTTGGTCAGTCAACTATTGTTGATGTGTATTAACTACTTCATCTGCTTTTGCTCTGGAATTCTGCTTTAAAAAGGTGTTTCCCTCCTAAATGACTCAGTTGAACTGACTTATGTTCCCAAAAGGCAATCAAGCCTCTTTTCTATCCTCCAAAAGTACCTTTAATCCCACCTATACAAAATACCACAGCACCACCTTTATACTTTTCCACCTGCTTGTTCTTGTGGCAGGTGGGATCACACCTGCTCTCCATCAGTTTAATCAATGGAGAGGCTACAGAGCCTGAAGTCTCACCTGGTTAAGCATGGGAGGAGAAGCATAGATCCTGCCCATATGTTCCAGCATTGGCCATGGGTTCAGTCAGCACTCTTTGCTGCTGCTATCCCAGGACAAGACTTTTGTGCAGATCCCAGATGACGTGAGTTACTAGCTAGTATGAATGACTAGAGAGTGCTGCTGTGTCACAGCAATCCATGAATTTAGGACTAGTTGCGTGTGCTGAGAACCTCATATCAAAAGCAGCCGGAAATTTAGCTTTATATTTGTGCCCATGCAGATGCACTAGGGATACTTTGCTATTGGTGCTGCTGCAAACGTCTGAAAGCGTATTTACTACACGGGGTCTTTACTGGCTTATTTTAAGGTTGTCTGAAAATTTGCATTGTAAACACTTTTCTTCATCTTAGCATTCATCTTCTCTGGCACTGTTAAGTCAGTCTAGGCATAGGTTGTTACGCTAGTTGGTTGGTAAAATCTGCAAAAAGCTTTGAGAAAAAATTCCTATCTAAATGCTGCCAATCCTCCCCTCTAAAGACTTGCATTTTGTTACAGCCTCCCACTGCCAGGGAAGCAAATTAGATACTTGAATGCAGACTCAGATAACATTTGAACTTTCCTCCGAGCTCTGCTGTTATGTATGTATAAGATCTGTAAATGTCTTACTACTTTGTGTGGAATTATTTGAATCACTGTAAATGTCTAAAATTCCAAAGAAAATTTGTCATTGGCATTTTAAATGTCTAAACCTTTAAAAAACTGTAGAGAAAGTTAACCATATTCGTATACATCACTGCAGTTGTCTGTTTTGTGTAATTTGTCATGAATTCAGTTGAAAATGGAGGTGGAAATATAACAACAATAATAACAAACCTGTGGCATCTCTTATGCAGACAAAACCCAGCAGGTGGTAGAAATGTTTTAAAGGTTGAGAACAAATTTACATTCTTTTTCCCAACTGACTAATGTTCAGGTGGTTTAGATAAACTTTGGATTATAACTCAAAACTCATTCTAACATGATATACCCATGGACACATTTAGTGATTGCTAAATCTGGTACATAGTGTTCTATACCTGAAAGGACAGGGAATACATAAATAGCTTGGTATAGATATATATCCATCAAGGGTTGTTTCATCCAGTGATAACTTGGTTTCTTTCTGGCACTTTGTTTTTTCTCCATTTTTAAATAAAGAATAGAAATACATTTGAAAGTGATAGGAAACAGTCCCATCAGCTGTCTGAGATTTCAGAGCGGAATTCCCTAAGCAGTCTGCAACTTCCTAGACATCCATCAACTGCTGTTCATTATAATTATTCTGTTAGAGGGAGGTACCAGCTCTGATGACAAGTGGTGCCATGGAGAAAGCCTTTAACTCCGATGTTTTTGTCGGATTCCAGTTGGTATTTTACAAAGCAGCCTAGTTCAAAGCAGGCTGGCTGCAACAATGTCCTGGAGTGACGCAGCTCCTTAAATGCATCATGGCTTTATATATTGGTAGGTTCTATTACATGGCTTAAATGACCTGGTTGGGTAATCTACAATGACTGCAAAACGGAGTCACTTCATCTACAAATTACAGTCACACATGCTGGTACAGACTCTGCTGACTCCTTTGAGGAAATGTGCTGCTCTTCTGGGCAAATAGCACCATTGATTTCAGGGCTGGATGACTGAGGTGATCCACTAAGTTTGGCATTGAAATGGTGTTGGATTTCACCATGCTTGCTGTGTAGGTAATCTTTTAATAATTCCTCAAAATACCCCCTGGAAAACATGAGACCTAGAACTGGCTAGGAAATCTCACTGTTTTTTCATCCCACTATAAGTACTATACTCAAGTGACTTTTTCTTTGAATTTTCTTATGAATTTTGAAATAATTTCAGAACAATTATTGTAATTATTTGTGTTATTATTATTAAGTTGACTGTTATTATTTGGGGTAGAGCAGGGTTGTGTAGCTCTGAGTAAATGAAAATATAACCAGTGTTGCTGCTGCAAGTTATATATTGAATATTTGAAATAAACCCAGGAAACTTGCCTCATGTTTCACTGCATGTAGTAGATTCAAGTAGATGAGAGAGTTTTTATGTTACGGTTCTGTAGTGCTGGTGTAAATGGGCCAAAAAGTTTGGTTGTATCCCTCTGCATTGGAGGATGTTTTGTTTTTTCACTTGCAGTGTGTCTTGTTCACACCCCTGTAGTCCCATCAGTGCAGAGCCAATGCAGGACATCTGTATCACATCTCACAACAGACGGAGGTTCAAGTGGATTTGCTAGGGCTTCAATGTCAATTCCTGAAGTCAACATAGACCCACATGCATTTGATTTTATTGATATAAAGTCAAACTTGAGCTTGAAAAGGGGGGTGCTGGGAAAAAAAAAGCAGATGTGGCCACATGGAGGTGGTCTGTCTGAACTGCCAAATGAGCCTTTCTGTACCCTGGCATGGTATTGATATGGGACATTTGGACATGTCTAAATTCTTCTAAGAATTGAGGTTTTGATTTTTGATCTGCTTTGGGGTTAAAGTAAAATATTGAAGTCAGATGTGTTTTCCCAGAACAGACAGATATATTTCCTAATGAGTTCCAAATATTTATGTCTGAATAACATTACCTATTTCAGCCTTAAGGGACATTAGAAAACTCAGGAGCTTATTTAACTACGGATGTTTTGGAATGACAAAAAAAAAGTAATAATTTGTCTTGTTGATTATGTTTGCTTTTCATTATTTGCAGGGGAACGTGACCTTTTCCTGCTCAGAACCGCAAATTGTTCCTATCACCTTTGTCAGCGCCAGTCGAAGCTACTTGCTATTACCTGGCACTCCTCAAATTGACGGTTTGTCAGTCAGCTTCCAGTTTCGAACATGGAATAAAGACGGCTTACTTCTGTTCACTGAATTGTCTGAAAATTCAGGACCTCTCTTGATTTACCTTCATAGTGGGAGATTGACGCTACTTATTCAGAAAGGGACAGAGAACCCAGTGGAAATCAATGAAGGTACTTTAGTTTTGATTACTCTCATCTGTCTCCTTTTGAAATACAAATGTCCAAGCCCACAGGATGAAAGGATTGTGAAACAAGGAAGTACCCAATCTTCCATTCTCTTTTCAAATTTTGTCTTGCTTTCCAGTGGTAGAACCACTCTGTGCAGCTTGAGGTCTGAGCATGGCAAGATGGCATCCTGAGACTTGGTGTACCTGATGATTGCCTCAGCCTCTGTGCTCTTAAACAGTCATGCTACTTTATCTCCAGTCAGGTCCGTGAAGACCTTCTTGTTTCCTGTCCTCAGTTTACAAAACTGAGAGTCAACTCAGTTGCTGCACCATTCCCCAGCACAAGTTAAGGCTACCTCAGATGTGATTTTCGTCCTCTGACTGTAGATTCAAGAGGGTGAAATGGGGTTGCTTTTCTGACCTAAAATTCAGGGGAAATTGCTTGTAAACACTTATTGGAACAGCTATGCAGAGACAAGAGGGAAACAATTTCAGACTGTACAACAGAGGCCCACCTGCTATCCCAGTGTGACCTATATAAGCCACACTGGCATCCCAGGCAGAAATGTTCTTAGCCCAGGGCCTCTGCACATCCCTTACTGATATGCAGCCATGCTGGGTGGAAACTGCAAAATTTGTTTTCTGCATAGGTTGAATACTCAGTTTCCAAAGGTTGATGAGTAATAGACTGGTGGAACTCAGATGGAACTAAATAATAATAATAATGATAGTATTTTCTAAAAAAGCATCTGTTTAAAATATGTAATATTAAAATATTCCCAGTACAGACTAAAAGAGGACAGATGTGTCTATTAAAAGAAGCAGAGATAAAATCTGACAAAGTTGTCAAAGCAGAGCTGTTCCATATGCGTGTTTCATTCCCCTTCACAATAGAAAATGAGGTAACCCTGCATCCATCCTTATTCATGTAGATTGTGACTGCCTTAGTTTGCTGCATTTCAATGCTGAAAACTGAATTTCCAACCTATATTGCAGTCCTAATTAAATTGTTAATGAAGCTGAGACAATATAAATATTTGGTTGGGTGTATTTGGTTTTATGTAGTTCTGAAATCATGAACCTGAGCCCAGCCTTTGGTGCTATCCAAAAAATTGCTAAACTACCTACTTATACATGGAAAAATATGTAGAAATTGTAAGTGCCATGCTCTGCAGATGTCAGATACTCACAGTGAACTCATGCTTGCTCAAGAATGGAAATATTTTTGCCCCAAATGGTACCTGTTTTGTTTTGACATCTTCTCAAAATTCAACAACATATTCCACTTCAAAATGGACTTGTTCTTGTTGAAAAAATCATCCATTTTTTCTGGGAAACCAACCTCTTATTCTATGGAAATTGTGCATACGTTAACAGCCATTACTGTGGAAATTGTCTCATTTTCAAATTCATAATGAAATGGCTTTTTATACACATAACACTCACATTTTTTTTTTATTTGGTTTGAACTGTTCTCACACCTCTTTGTGTCATAGTGCTCGTTTGTTTCTTCTGAACGCTACATTAGCGAAAAATATTCCTTTAGGAGAGGAGTAAATACTGGTTGTCTGTGCCTGGTCTCAGTGGCTTCAGCCTGACAGCAACGTATTTTGAACCGTAATTAAGTTACTTTTGATCTGCACCATCGTGTGTGAGCACAGAAGCTTGCCCACTGATTTTCATGGCTGTCAGAATAGAGGATGTGGAGTTTCTTTGTAGCTGTGTGGGTGCTATTTCAAGAGCCATGAGATGCAACACTGATTTTCAGAACAAGGAAACAGAGAGATTATTTCCCACTTTGCACTAGAAGAGAGACTACCCAGTACCATAATGTCTCATGTACCTTCATAGGTTCCTGGTCAGAGCAAAAATCCCAGCTCTCACAAGACCCATGTGAAAATCCAATATGCATTCAGTACATCCATCAAAAAGACTGTGTGCTAACTTAGTGCTGAAGCATTTTAAGAAACACAAATCCTACTGAAATCTACTGGAATTTGTCACATTTCTTATTGGAGCCTGAGACAGGGTATGACCGTTTCACTGAATCTAATCCTTTGCAATCTCAGGCGTGTGTTTTATACCAGAAGTTGAACAGACATCTTCTCTGCATGCTCCTATGAGCTATAAGCATTTTCCAAGAGACTGAAAATTAGACATAAACACCCACGAAATGGTAATAATTGCTAAGAGAAAGGCAAAGGGCCCTGCTAGCTTGCTGAGTGCCAGCTGTGCTAGGAGCAGGTTAGCTTAAAATGTGAGATGTCCTACTTAAACACTCAAAAGTTTTATCTTTCTTGGGCCTTTTCTTCTATGCCAGTTTTTTTTTTTTTTCCAGAGGTAATGAGTTCTTTTCAGCTGCCAGTGCTCCTTTTGGAGTCATCTGCACATTTGTGGCCACAAGTTAGAAGCAAAAGAAGGTTTGAGGAACACAGTTGCCTCCTGCACCCCTTTTTTCACTCTTTATACTTGATTTTGCCAGGCACCAATCTCAATGATGGACTTTGGCATTCTGTTAACATCAACGCCAGAAGACATCGCATTACCCTGACACTGGATAACAACGCTGCCACTGCTAGCCATGCAACCACTGTCTCAAGGATCTACTCTGGGAACAGCTACTATTTTGGAGGTAGGTTGTTTTAGACAGATGAAGGACAGGTCCTCAGTACTGAGGTCTCCCCAAGTGTACTCTGTTTGCAGCTAAGAGCAAATGTTGTAATAACTTATTTTAGACCCCTTACTGAGTTGCAGTGCATACTGTGGGAATATTGAAGGGTCTTGGCCAACCTTGACAAAGGGAGAAAGAGTAGAACTACTAACAGAGCTGTAGAAGTGGACTACTGGTGGTAATAGTAGCCAATGGGTACCTGTATGGAGCTGGTAAAACATGCAAAAGCTACACAGCTGTATTAGCCTCAAGTGTTTTTTTCTAGTTAAAAGGCCTGAGGACTATTAATATTATTAATATTCCTGTAGATTCACTGTCCTCATCAGGCTTAGTGACTTTATACTTCAGCGCTTAATTGATATATAGCTCAGATCTACAAAAGTATGTAGGTACTATGCTCTCATGGAAATGAATGTAGGTTTAACTCAATTTTGAAAATGAAAGGAACAGTCTTGAAATATACTACCTTCTGCTTTTTGGAGTGGAAGCATTAATTTAGATAAAGGGAGTGCCATTAACTGTCTTTTTATCTAATATATTTTTGCGTAGTGCTTATTGCAGTGTGGCTCTGATCTCAATGAACCCTCTGAGAACAGCACTGAGGACACACAGAAGGCTTTGAATCTTAGAGCCAGACAAATACTGAGGAAGCTCAGATACAAGCGGTTTTCTTGTCTGTTGTCCACAGAATTTCGTCCTTTTATTCTGTGGGTTGCCTTAGTAGCAGAATTTAACCCATAATGATTTTACAATTTACACAGCTTTTTTTATGGGACTCAGTTGTTATCAACTGTGGAGATGATGTGAAAACCAGGTACTCTTATGTTTCCAGTGGCTCTTCTCTCTTTTTTTCTCTTTTAAAAAAAGAAAAAAAAATATTATTTTTTCTTACCGATGGATTGATAATACAGAAGGTTGCATAGCACAAAGAATGAAAACACTTGAAATAATGAGCCTCCAAGTTCTTGCATCAGAAAATCCCAGCAGAAATAGATGAACATTCCAATATTCTTCTCTGCCTCTTCTCTTTTTCCCACAGGGTGCCCTGACAATTTCACCGATTCCCAATGTTTAAATCCCATTACTGCTTTTCAAGGCTGTATGAGGCTCATCTTTATTGATAACCAGCCCAAGGACCTCATTTTAGTTCAGCAAGGCTCCCTGGGGAATTTTAGTGATTTACACATTGATCTGTGTGGCATCAAAGACAGGTAATTATTGTTTCCTCTTTCGTGTATTTATTCTTTTTTTCATCCTAGTGGTTTATAAATATAGGTTGCATTAAGTGAAAATTCTAATCTGCCAACATTATGGATATTAGGCATAATAGAGCTACTAATAGAAAATATTACAGCAAAGATAGGAGGACTGGAGGGGAAATGGTTTCAATTACATGAGGCTCTCTTCACATTGACTTGTAGGAAATAGAGTATGCAAATTCAATCAAACTACAGATTGGTGAAAGGATTAAATTTTATGCATAAACAACATTTGATTGCTTTGAAGTTTTAGAGGGGAATGAAAGAGAAGGAAAAATTATTTGATTCATCAGAACATGTCATCCCCTTAATATACTAGCTGGTTTTGCTTAAGTAGATCATTTACAATTTTTCTTGTTAGCCATTATAGCACAGCACATTTATAATGAAGATATGGTACACCTCATGCGACATACTGCCCATTCAGTAGGACAATATAATGATGAAATGTCTGTGTCTCCCAGAGACACATTTCAGTTTAAATACTGATCTGAATCCCTCCTAAGCTGAAACCTGAGAGGAAATCCAAACTTACTCATAGAATCATCCAGGGTGGAAGGTACGTCTAAAGGTCATCTAGTCCGACCTCCCTGCAGTCAGCAGGGACACCCCCAACTAGACCATAGAAAGTAGAAAGAAAATAAGCAAACAGGGTTGGTTTATTATTATTTATTTATTTAAGTATTTAATAATTTCTCCTTTGCTTCCTACTGATTTTTAGTGTCTAAATGTTTCTGAATTATTTCTGCAAATGTATACTTTGAAGTTAGCACATGGAATAATGAGCAATGGTTTGTTGGGGTTTTTTTTAAATCTAACTAAAAATGGAAATGGAACTGTGGGAACTTTCCTGTGTTTCAGATAATTAAGGGAGTAGTAGGGATATTTTCGAAATGCATTAAGAGCTTAAGCATTTAACCTATTTTTTTTCAGACAAGTTGCTTAGAGAGTTGGAGCTGAAGGCCGATACCTATTATTACTTCCTCTAGGGAGGGATCAGCCTGCTGGAGCTGAAATCTTTTGAAAAGTGGGCAAAACCTCTATTGTGTGAGAACTCTGTGCTCATCTTTGATGTTCATGTTTGTTAACTTGTACAGAGAAAATACTGATTCTGCTAATCAAACCTCTTTCCACGTTTAACAATGACTGAATTCAGGGGGATGTGTATTTCATGCTTGGTGTGCCTGAAATGGTAGATGAAATTGATGAGGTGCAGCTGATTTAACTAAAGGAAGTAAAATGGAAACCCTCCTGAGAAATAAGTGAAAGAAAGTATTTTGCTGTTTTCTTGGAAAAACAGATTCCTTAATATCAAGAGTAGAATTCAAAGTCAACTTATATATTTGTGTATTGAAATAGAAGATAATTCCTCTGTTGGGAAGCAGAGGTGCTGGGGACGACTCCAGTGTCTTCCAGGACCAAGTCCAGGCTACAGTGTAAATCTGTGGTACCTACTGCAAGTGTCTTCCTCATCTTCAGTATCCCAAAGATGACAAGCATTAGTCTGTGATCATACTGTACAATTCTTTAGGGCAAGGATCCAAACATAATAAGAATGGTGGCACTTTACATAATTATTGTCTTGAATATATCACATAAGTAAACAAAAGTTATGTGTGATCTAATGAAGATTCCAATGTAGTTCTCTGGATAGCCTTAAATGAACTAGGTAGACTTATATTAGATACGATCTACAGTAAAGATCATATAGTAGATACAGTTGCCTAGATCATATAGTAGGTATGGTCACAAAACCAAGGCAGATTAAAAAAAAAAAAAGGATTTGACTGGCAAAAGTGATTCTCTTATGACTGGACTTGCTGTGTCAGTGAAGGTGCCCTGATGGGGAACAGAGAAGCCTGAAGTGTGAGAAAGTGTTGGACTGAAGTTTAGAAATTCCCTTTGCCATGGAAGGGCATGAGCCTTGCTGGCGATGTGGAGATTACAGCTTTCTTGTTCAGTGAAACATCCAGTGCTTTCCCTGTCCAGCAACTCCAATAACTGTGCTGAAGCTTTTTTGCAGGGAAGAAGAAAGGATTTTATATATTTTTTTTTAATCCAAATCATATTATACATTTTACACATCTGGGACACAATCTTGAGAGAACAGATTTTAAGAAGTTACAGAAGTTGTTCAAAGTGAAGTGCTGGTGCAGTACTGAAGTCGAGTGGTCATAGCAGCAAGAGACAATTGGAAAGAGGAATGAAATTAAAAGAAAATAAATAAAGAAAATACAGAGAAGAGGCAAATCCTTTGTTTTATTTTGTTAAGACAATTGATCCTAAGCCAGTGGATGAGCGGGGTAAAGACTGAACAAAAAATTATTCTGGGAGTGTGTTCCTCCTAAGCATTTTTGAAAATTTTATGTTCTGCGAGCTTTTATTATAGCATAGTGTCTGCAACAAACTGTAGATGGAAAGTTGACAGATTTGAATTCAAATCTAAAGACTGTATTGCTGTCTAGTCTGCACAGTGTACCCTTGAGTATGTTTTCAGATCTTGTTCAAATTGCATAAAGTCTGACACTACCAGTCACTGTAATTCAACTAGTCACCGGTCACTAGAGCTCTCTACTGCAGCAGCTCTGGGCTGCTGGAAAGTTGGGGTCTGGCTCCAGGCGTGCAGTATCCAGCTGCTCATTCTCTCTGTACAGGGAATGTTAAAACTCTGTAAAGGCATCTTCTCTGAGAAATGTGATCTCCCCTTTCTTAATTATAAGATTTTTTTTGCTGTCTGCACTGTAAAGCATGTGTTTTTGTAATTTTAACATATGGGAATGGTGTAGCTTAATTAACATGTAAATGGGACATTTGTCTTAGTTACCTAAGCAAAAACGCTCTTTTGAGGAATATGCCTCTATTTAGAAAGCAGTTTATTTGTTACAGTCTTGTAGGCCAAGATCATTCAGACCTGGGCTCTGAAAGCGGTGATTAGACAGCTCCCTGCAACCTGTGCTTACTCTTAGAAAAAGAATGACTTTGTTTTGAAAGATGATAAACTGCAACTACTGTTGATGTAGTTTTTGAGAAAGTGTTTTTGACTGTGTTTTGGTGAGAGAATCTGGTTGTGTAAGCACATTATACACGTACACACCCACACATACCCTGGGATTCCACGTATAAAGCAATGAGCCTCCATTAATTTACGTGGAACAATCTGAGGGACTAGGCCTTAATATCTCGTCATGTCTCATCGCTAGTATTTTAACTACATGCGTGCTGAAGTGAACTTAACATGAATGCCTTCTACCTCCCTGTATTTGTTATTTCCACTGTTAAGCAACTGCTTTTCAGGAAATAAATGCCCTGTCACTAGCTGAGCTATCAGAGAGTACACATACACAAAAAAAACATGTCCATGGAAATATACAGAGTTTTGCCTTCTTTCCATTTAGTGGCTGGGGAGACAGTGTAAAGTGAAGATGTTTTTGGAGACACAAACAAACTTGACCCTGTTGCTGACCCTGCTTTGAGCAAGTTCTTTTTTTGCTGGAGATTTCCAGAGGCTCCTTGCAGCTTGAGTGACCCTGTGAATGAGGCCACCCAGTAGCTGCTCTGGTCCTGGTTGAGAAGGCAGTTCAAGATGTATCTGTGAGAGCTGGGATTAGCAGATAACACTCGTAAAAGTCATGTCTTCCGTGCTTTCAGTAGGATTTTAAGATGTTGTACAGTCTGGAGTTGAACACAGCAATCTGGACTGTCCCTATGATGGAAGAAGGCTAGGTAGCACCATATCCTATTAAGACACTGCTTGTTTCTAGCCCTCAGCTGCATTGCCAGCCTCACTAGTGTTCCTATTGCTGCATATCAAGTTGTCTCTGACTTGCCATCCCCTTCTATGGTACCTACATGTTGTCCTTAGGTGATGCATCCTGTGCAAGGAGAGGTATCCCCAGTCTATTCATATCAGAGCTGTGTCTGCGCCACAAGCCCTGCAAAGTAGTGCCGTATTCCCTTCATCACCTCCTTCAAGATAAAGCTGTTCCTGCAAATTGTTCTCAATGCCTTGTAGAACAGGAAAGTAGAATCTGTAGGAGGAAGCAATTTTTCTTGTAATAATGTGTGTGTAGGACTCTTGGCATTATCCCCACTGCTTGCCTAACGTGAATCCAGCTAATTATTTTTTTTTCTTTCGTTTGTAATATGTATGTTTGCTGTGGTTGTTCAAACACACAAGTTTCTCAGTCTTTTCTGGGGATGCTGCAAAGTGTGGTACTTACACTGCTCCTGGTAGTGGACTCCATCCATGGATGTCAGAACTCATAGCTGCCTGCAATGCACTTATCCCTATTCCAGTGAGAGAGTGAGACAATATCCTGCTAAACCATAGAGATCTACTCCATGAAGGAAGTGGATTTCATTTATTGTTGTTGCCTTTTAAGGATCTCTGCTTGGTTAGGGGGGTTGCTTGCTTTACACTAAATTAGTAAGTCAGAAAATACAGTCTCTAACAGCATGCTGGTGTTTTCCCTCTATGGCACGGTACAGAGCAGAAAGTAACAAGACAGAGACGTCTGGAAGTGAAGGTGCCATGAAATCCTTGAATTCAGAGACTTTCTGTTGGGGAGAGAAAGAGATGTCTTTGGATATCTATGCAGACTTTTGCAGAAGTACATGTACTGCATTGAACACCTCTGACCAAAAGCCATCTGGCATAGGCCCAAACAAATAAATGCAGAATCTCTTTTAATTTATTTTCAGTTCAGAGTGATACAGATGAAGTTCATGGCTACAGGGACCGTACAGCCCTCACTGCTGGTGTTTTGCACTGTAAGTGTTTTTTGGCAAGGGAAGCATCTTCTAGGGGTTACACATTAAACATAGAAGCTTGCAGGGGGAAGCCTGAGTGGTAAGAAAGTCTAATGAGAACAGAATAATGTTTGCTGTCTTTGGCCTTAATCTGTAAGAAGGGCATCAGTGTCAAGGGATGGGAAGGTGGCAAGCAACATAGA